AATTACCAACCAACTCGGGGTTGTTGCATACACACACGAACACGCATCTACCAAGCTCTAACATGACTTAAGACTACAGGATCACACGCTTGTTTAGTTACATAAAAAAAGTTGTCACCACTGTCGCTCCCCTTCCTGTCTTACTTTGACCCGCATACATGCATGTAACACGGGCATAAAATAGCCAAACAAATCATAGAATGCCTTATTAAAATCGCAAAAAAGTAATTAGGATCTCTACTAGTCACCTTTCTTGGTTTAGTTTTCTTGGTGATTGTTTGTGAATAATGGTTCCTGACTCTGACGATGTAATCCACATGACGGACGAAATCTCGGGTTTTTATGACCGTGAACCGAGGTCTTCTTTGCACAATTTAGCAAATAAAAGTACAAGGCAACCCTACTTGGGTATCAGGTGAGGCCAATCTTCGAATCTTTTCCACCTTCTTCTCAAACAAAATGAAAGGTATGCCAGTATCAATCTACTAAGAGATTCTTCGAAATCCAGCTTCTCTTCATATTGTGAAAACAAGGTCAAACAACTACTAAGTTTATTTTTACCTTTCTAACTCCTGACCCTAGTGATATATGTCCGCTAGACGGAACCCCCTTATTATAATTTTTCCAGTACTCTTACCTTAATAATATGAGTTTGATTCGAGAAGAAATTAATAAAGAAACCCACAGTTGTGGGTTTTCAAAACACAGCCATACTCAGGACATCTAAAAATGGTAACTTATTGTCCTTTTCTAACTCTTCAGTATTGACTAGGTTTTCGAGACTACCAGTAAATCATATATATGAGATGTCTGAATTCCATAGTGAATTCTGTCGTCCTATCTTATCAATTCATTAATTTAAGGAAGTCTTCTATTCTCGCTTTTCTATGCTGCCAGATAGCAAAGTAGTCATCCATATAGCTGACAAATAGCTTCGGAACTAGGAGTGCTTCTTGGGAAAGCCGGAATTCTAGGAGAGCCATGCAGTTATTAGCTAAAGTAAGAGACAAACCCGATCTCGTAACTAAACCTCTGATTCGCTCATGTAATTTACCATTAGGCGTGGAATATGTAGTATTTATTATTTAGTTCGTCAATCTCAGGATTGGCTCCTTGCTTATCTTATATCCTCATATAATCTTTAGGTGTTGACCTAAGATTAATCCTAAAGCCTTTTCGATTGAGCTATGAATCTTGCATACACACATTGCACACACATCCACGATCCACAGGATCATGCGCTGGTTTACCTACATAAAGAAAAGTTGTGACAAAATCCCCTCTCCTTCCTGCATTAACATCAATCGCCTACATGCATGTAGGACAAGCATACAGCAAGCAAGCAAATCATGGAATGCCTCATTAAGATCGTAAAGTGAAGTATAATAAGTAATTAGAATTTCAGCCAGCCACCTTACCTGGTTTAGTCTTTTTGATGATCGTTCTCAAATGATGGTTTATGGCTCTGATGATATCCGTCATATGACGGATGTAAGCTCAGTTGTGATGGCTCGGGGCTGCATGACGATGAGCCAAGGTCTTCTTCCCACAAGTAAATAATCACAAGTCCGAGTCAACCCTCCTTTGTATCCGGTACGACCAATTTGCAAATTCTTCCCACCCGCTTTTAAAGCGAAATGAAAGGTATGATAGTATCAATATTGTTAGGGAGTCTTCGAAGCCCAGCTTTATATATTGGGCTTAGTTTTAAATAAGTACCGATAAGAATTTTATCGGCCTTCTCATCTATTTATTTCATATTTCTACTTTTAGTCGAACATTTTATGCTGCAAATCACCTGTTAAATTTCGTACTCTTATTCATTCTGCCTCTTACCATGCGTTATTTGATGTCTGTCAACTAAAAGTCCTTTTATTGTATTGTAATCTTAATAAGAAGTATCCCTTGAAACCGTGATTACTAATGCTTTTGGATTATTCCATTTTTTACTATTGTCAACCCCTTTCTATCCTTCTAAATCATACCCAAAATTCGAGCAATATGATCACTTATTTATGCTACAACCTCCTCTGGTAGTAATCTTTTCTTTCGCATAAATGTTGATACATCCTCTATTATAGGCACTCCCTAATGCTCATAAACCGAACACAACTCTCTTTCTACACTTGATGTTTTTACAGTCCTTTTCTCCCAAATCGAAAAATTTAACAATCGATATGACTTCTTGCCAATCCAGCTTGTAACTGGCCGCACTCTGTAATAGATACTAAACTTTCCTTCTTGTGCCAAGATCTGTATGTTATTATATTACCTTTCTAGATTTCATTGTCTACAAAAACTTTTAATAGGAAGGTTATAGGCATCTTATCTTATTATATGGTGTGCCTCAATCCAGAAAGCATTTAGACTGCTATCATCTTTGACAAATATTTGGCACATATAGAGGGCCGATATATTTGGGATCAAGGCCATTTGTCTTACTACTAATAGTGTCAGTTAACTTTAAGATAATTTAACATCTCGAAATATGGTGTACAAAATAAATTAGTTTGGAAGTACTACATCTATACTATCCTATGATAGACAATTACTAATCCATAACAAGGACTAATTGCTAAATCAGATGGATAGTCAGTATGGATTCACCTTGGTTACAGGGCATTGCGCCGAGATTACTACTCTCATAACGACGGTCAGGTCACATATCCCCTAAGGCAATCACCAGCAGTTTTCTATCAGAACTGGTCTAATTGACTGATCGACTGTCCTCACAGTACATACAATTTACCGAGGTAGATACTTAAAAACCTAGCTTCTCAGTCTATTTATCACTGCCTAGTACCATGGATATATTGCTTGAAAGCAAGTCCGTAAAAGTTGACTTTTATCTCGGCAGCCTAAATACAAAGACCTTTGGTGATCTATCTGTATTATCTAATCATTCATGCATACATGTTAAGCCGAACATTGAAGTAGGCTTTATTAAAATAAATAAATACACACACACATACACACACACACATATATATATATATATATATATAATATGCTGACCTCAATCTTTATTGAGATACATCTATGAATATCAGGCTTTCACATTCGCCCCCGTTAGAATACTATTATGCACTTTGGGAATATACACGCTAAATTTGGGGCACTAACAACATATATTAACGATCTCGTTATACATTATAGTATAGATTAGTATTTATTAAAGACAAAATAACGATTCACCCTTGACCGAATTCTAATAATAATAATAATAATAATAAGCCTTTGCAGATTTTCTCGGTATGCAAGAGCAAATTATGGAAAAGTTATAATCCCTATGCGCTCCCTTACTCTCATAAGAAAAGTATTCAGGCAAGAGCTATGTGAGTGAATGTGGATCCAAGCCTTCTTGCACTGTGTGTTTCTACCACTCTTATCCTCTATTTAAAGCCCTATAACCCTTATTTTTTAGATACCTTTTGCTCTTGAAGGGTTTAAGTGAAATATTAAGCTGGCATTTGCATAGTTTATCTCTCATTACATGCTTCTCTCTGTGTGCATATACTCCTATCTACATTCTACTCATATTGCCAACCCTTCGGCTACATTTTATCATGGCTCTTCTTTCCCTTAGAGCTTCTAAAGAATGGGGGGACGCTACACGGGGCCTCCAGCTCTCTACTGCAAAGCGTGCCATCCTCAAACTTGGCGACAGACCTATTCATACAAAGAACTGGCGTCCTCAGCTTTTGGTCTACCTTTCCTTGGATGACAGCCTGCAAGTACATCACGAGCGTATGCTAGATCTAGTCTACCAACTAAAGGCTGGTCGAGGCAAGTTATATTTTGTTGATGCATCGTGGCAGAGGCAAAAAGAAAACTAAACAAAAATATAATATAAAATTTGCCTTGCCTGATCACTTATTTTCCTTATTTATGGACTTTCTTTAACTCTATATGACGTAAACTTCTCCCTTTAGTTAAACAACGTAACATATTTTATGAGCATAGCTCCTTGATTAACCAGCCTACAAAGGATCTACATTCTATTTTGGAACTATCTTTATATAAGAATCGTTTTCTTATAAAATTTCTTCTTATAAAGCACCTAATATATTTCGCCATTTACCTATTTTCATCACAGTTATCTTGGCAATAGGAATCTTAGTTTCTTTTTCAGTTTGTAATTATATTTCGAGACTACTAGTAGATCATATATATATTATATATATATATTCACCCTCTTTCATTTAAGATAGTGAAGGACTGGTAGTTGAATCATCCTTATAATGATATGAGTAGGTCTCACGTTTTCGTTTAATTTCGCATAGACTTTCTTCCCATAAGGTATTATTATTCAGGCCAGACTGCAGTTTCGACCTCTCCTAGGCCCCTTCAACACCCCCAGCGGGATTCGAGCCCAGGTAATGAAGCAAATAGTCTTAGTATATTAACCACTACGCCAGACTGCTGCAAGGGCCTTTGAGTCACAGGGAAGCCGTGAACCTCAAGGAAGCCCAGGCCTTTCACATTTCTGTGCTAGGATTGCCGATGAAGAAAAGTTGTATTTGCCATTACTCGACTACCTTACTTATTTTTCGTCTATAAGTAGCTTTCAAACTTCCAGTAGATCATATATATGAGATGCATTCACTCTATTTTGTTTAGAGTGATGAATGATTGACAGTTTAGAAGTTGTTTGACCTTGTTTTCGCAACTTGGTTATATTGGTAGGAAGACTTAGAGGAACTCACCTCGTCCTGAGTCCATTGTATGCAAAATTATTTCCAAAGTCGGATTGTGGACGTGGTACATTCCCAGACGTTTCA